CGGGCTCGTGGCTCCTATCTGGTTTTAACAGCGGATGCAGCCAAGAGCGAAGGATCATGCCAGCTTCTAAGATCTCGTAGGTTATGGATTTCGCACATTGTCTGGGCTGTCCAACAGTAACAGCTCCGGAAAGTGGCGTCTGCAGGGACACGTCTTAAAGTCTGATGCCGTTTTGTTCTCCTTGGACCTTCGTCTCCATCTTGCCGCACCGAGGAGACGGCCCATCGTATATCCCAATGACGAGACCTCGGGATGTTCGGCAGACAGCTGTTTCCCATTCTGCCAAGCCAAAAAAGGTCGGATTTCAGCAACAGCTTCGACATCTTGAAAAAGTGATGACTGAGAAAGTCGACTTCAAGGCCTCGAGAGACGAGACATGAGAGGACGAGAGAAATCGTTTTTTTGACGGAGGCACCTTGGCAGAAGCAGGTGAAGCAGCTCCGAGAGGCTCACAAACCCACTCTCTGCCACGGCCACGATGCAGTCCTCGGAGGCTTTGCCGAAAGGCGATTTGGAAGGGCCAAAGCGCGCTGCCAAGTCAAGAGAGGCACCCCGTTCTATCCACTCCAAGACAAGCTGAGCTTGCGGACATGACCTCAGCCGAGCTTTGGCTCCAAGGTCTCCACTTCCGATCCGAGATGCGATTGGCTCTTGCATGGGTGCCGTCCGAGCCTTGTGTTAGCACCCGGTCACAGCATGATGAAATTCGTGGCTGAGGCACTGAACGACCTGGAGGCCCTCGTAGACAAGGACCTGGGGTCTTGGGGCTAAGCCTTCTTCGGCTTCACGATGCTTCACGGTATTTCGGACTCGCAATCGCGGTACCGGTAGGTTCTTTCTCAACCGCAGCGCTCGTCTCAGATTCGGCGGAAGAGTGAAGACATCAGGATTGCAGGCTGCACGGGTATCTCTTGGTTTTCAGGCTGCTTCAAAAGAGGGAGCTGTGGAAAAGACAAGGGTTTTGAGCTCGGTGGCTTGCAGTGATCCTCAAATTTGCCTCCACCTTGCCCTGTCACGATGAGTTCCTGAGTGGCCAGTTGGGTTGCAGAGAGGCCACAGGACACCGATGCTCGGGGCCCAAGGGGTAGGCATGTCTGAAGACGTTGACATCTGCTGCCCTGCGATGCTGCTGCGAACATGGCCGGCACCGACGATCAGCTTGCACTTCTGTCCTCTATAACAGGTTCAGAGCTGTCAGCTTGCCGTGCAGCTCTGGTCAATGCAAAAGGCGACGTCAATCTGGCGGCTCAACTTCTACTGTCCGACGCCTCTGTGACCACAGATGGGCTTCTCTTCGGGGATTGTTCGGAGTGTCATGAGACCAATGTTGCAGGATACTTCGGTCAAGGCTCCGATGCCGAGACCTTTTACTGCCAGTCCTGTTGGAGCCGATGGGATCGAGTTGGGCACATGCAAGATATGGAGCAAGAGAATATGTTGCAGCGGGATCTTGGTCTACTTGAGGCACCGACTCTCGATGAGCTTGGCCAGGCACTTCTCAGGCGCGTAGCTGAAAATTGGCGGAGCCCGCTGGACCGCACTGAAAATCAATTTGCGTGGAACGCCACTGGCAAAGAATCCTGGAACAGGGTCGCCCGTGCCGCGGCTACTGCGTTGGCATCTAAGGCTGGGGTCATGGCAAGCGCTGCGAGTTTTCTCGCCGGAGCTGTGCAGATGGCGGGAGAAGATTTGTGGAAGTTGCTGACCATCTACGAAATCCAAGTGGCATCGCAATTGCCACGAACGTCCTCTGGAGCCAAAGCCATGGCTAAAGCCGCAGGTTGCACCGGTCTTGCGTGCCCAGGTATCCTAGGACAAACAGAGGAGGTGGATGTCTACATATACGACTATGGAAAGCTTGATGTCATTTTCAGGTTGCGATCTGACGGCATGCCAGCTTCAGCCCTTCTGTACGACCCTGCTTGCACGATGTGCCCAATTGGAATTGGCGTTTCTGGTCTCTGCGCGTCTCGATTTACACTCTATCCGCAGACAGAGGCTTCCGGAGTTGGTGGGCTGCCACTGGCTGCAGTGCTTTGGGAGCTCCTCCTGGGCCCTCGCAACCTTCCCGAAGCTGTTGCCTTTCTCAGAAGCCTCTTTGACGGCAGAAAGGTTGTGATGGCTTCCGGTGCTGCTTTGCTGTTGACGCAGCCAGGTCATGGCATGGTAATGGTCGAGTGGTCGCGCAACAAAATCCACATTTCTCCTGAAAGCTTCGAGGGTGTCCTGGTTCACGCAAATCACTGTGCACTTGGCTCTAGCTTGAAAGATGAGGATCATCGGAGCATTTCAAGGCTCTTGGAAGCGAGCAAACGACGCCAGTCAAAGATTGAGGAGCTCTATGCAGACAAACTGCTGGCAGGAACATCCACGCTGAGCTTGGGCCAAGTGCAGGCGTTCTTGTCCGCAGAGGGCATACAGAATGATGATGTGCTTGCAACCGTGATAAGCTGCCCGGAGAAGCGCGAGCTGCACGTTCGGTTTCGTTTGCAAGTTTCTGGCATGGAGATGGTGGAGGATACGCTGGCGTGTGATTTCTGGCAATGCTTTACTTAGGGCCATTTGCACATCCGCTATGTACAAAATGGACCCACCTTGCCGGCCCACCTTGTCCGCCAGCACCCGGAACAAGGCTTCGAGCCTTTGGTAGTTGCGGGTTTCCACCGCACCGCGCAAGCCAGGCTCTTCTTCGAGAACCTGCACAAGTACAAGTCCCCGTGCTCAGACGCTCCAGCTATCTCAAGCCTCAAGCTCCCATCACCTGAAACGTGAAGAACTTCCCTGATCGCTGTTCAGGGCCATTCCTGGGGACCTGGGACTACTGAGCCGTGCCAAAGTGGCGGCTGATCAGTTGAGGCTCCAAGTCTTTTTCGGGTGGTGCCTAGCGGGGTTTGGTCGAGGTACATTTTCCTGTGACCTACATCGCCAGATGTCCTAGTCCACCGCCAGGTCACTTCAGAAAGTTTACAGCGACTCCCTGAAGGGCGTTCGCTGCCAAGCAGAAACACAACTCTCTGCTTCTCTGCGATGCTGCACTCGTCGCGACCGGTAGTGAACGGTGGTCAGGTCAAGTTAGCCAACGCTGTTGCACAGGAATTGGAGGCCCGTCGCGCACTTGATCCCTCCAGTGCAGACGGTGCAATACTGTCCAGGACTGGTCCAAAGTGGCTGCACCGGAGCTCGAGAAAGCCGAAGCCGAAGGTGCGCGGTGTGGGCCGTAAACCGAACTTCTGAGCGCGAGTCACCCATGCTGTGGTGCCGCAACTGCATCTGCAGCTGCCAATGTGCACCAGGCCAGTCTGAAGCAAAGGAAGAGAAGCTCCCTCAGGTTATGCCACGCAGTTTGCAAGCGGAGAGTTTCGCGCTAGCGCTTTCGGAGGAGCTGAGCAAGAAAGACAAGAAAAGACTGAAGAAGGACCATTGCCATTGTCATCCCAGCAGAGCTGTGTTGTAGACGTAGGTGTTCTCATTCAGGAGAAGAAGCGCGAGAAAAAGGCCAAGAAAGCCGAAAAGAAAGCCGCCAAGGTGCGCTCCAGATTTCCTTCTAAGTGCGATGCCTAGCTGGGCTAGCACAGATGCTGCTACATGTAGTACGAGGAGAGCGGAACAGCCGAATCTACTCCAGTCCGAGTAAATTGGTCGTCTAGAAGGCCAGACTTTGGGTCGGAAGTCTGCTTCTCGGTCCCTCGCAGACCTTGGCCAAGATCGAAGAGGCTGCGAAGGAGGCGCGCACTGCCGCTCCGCAGCCGCAGCATCGCCACGCGAGCTTTGCCTGCGAGGCCGAGAACATCGCGAAGCTGGCGGGTGAAGAGGAAGCCGAGGCCCACTGCATCCCTATCCGCCAACGCAGCATCACGCAGTTCCTGCGGCCGATTTTCGTTGCAGGCTGCCAGAAGAATAGCCGAGGTGGAGGAGGAGCTTGCGGCAGCTGAGGCTGCACAGACTTCGAAGTTAGGCTCGCTGGCCTCTTTTCTTTTGCGCAGGCGGCAGCGGCTGCTGCCGAGGAGTCCTCATCGGAAGATCCTGAGATGGCCAGCCGTGCAGGGGTGGTTGGATATATCAGGATTCGGGATGTCTGAGCAGTCATCATAAGCTTCGAACTGCAACCCAGCCAGGAATAAATCGAACCGATGCCTGCACCTCTTGTGGTTCGCAGGTGGCCAAAGCAGCAAGGCTTCGAGAACAACTCAACGAAGCCTACGAGCATTCTGCAAACGCATGATCCTCGGCAGGGATGCTGCAGTGTTACAGGAATTTTGAGCTGTGCCTGCGGAACGATGCGGGTCGGCTGTCGGTTTGCAGCGAACTATGAATTGACAAGATCTCTTGAGAACACATTGGCACGTTCATGACACTGAGGTTGCCTTGAAAGCAGCAGAAAAGGCTCAGGCAAGCACTGCTTGGGTTTACATATTTCAACGCTACGCCGCCCGCCTCGGTTCGTGGGATTCTAGCACTTGCGTGAGTTCTTCTGGGGGTAGTTTCGGTCATCATGCCTCCGAGCGGGGCTGGGAAACGGAGGGGAGAGGGAAGGCGAGGCGAGCACGCGACGGCGAGCTTTGCACACAAGGCTTGGCTGTACCGAGCCGAGGAGATGATAAGTTATGCTGACGGCCAGCACCCGCAGCCACGATCCGCACAGAATGCTGCTGCAAAGAAACGAGCATGAAGGACTTAGGTCAGCGAAGGTCAGAAACGAGTAAAAAATGTCTGGTTCCCCCTCTATCACCACCTTTGGCGAGCACAGCGGGCGTGATCACCCAGAAGATCCCACAAGCTTGCCCTGCAAGGCGACGGTCAAGTCCAAGAAGCGCGCAAGGCTTCGACTCCAGAAATCGACTAGAAACTGTTTGGCAGTGACGGAACTTGAGCTTGAAGGGAAGGTGTGACCTGAACATGCCCCAGATCTGACGTCCCATCTAGCTTTCACGTTGGAGGTCATCCTCCTCTTCTGGGGCTTCGGCCTTACACGACGATGGAAAGTGTACATTTGAACCTGACTCTCAGTGACTCTTTCTGGACTCAGGATAGTTCGGACGACTGACTGCCAAAGTCAACTGCAGATCATCGGAAAGAGTCGTCGCGTGCATCGTTTACATGAAGCCCCAACAGCACTGCGGTTCACATGAATCACAACCTAATGGAGAAAGCTGCTGCGCCTGCGATGCATGCGTGATTTTGCTCCAAAGGGCTTCGGGTTTAGGGCAGTTTGGGGTTCAAAGATTAGTCTTTGTGTCTTGGAGGGGAATTCCAGCTGCAGTGACGTAGTCGCTTCGACCTTGGAGATCAGAAGGCTTTCAAGAAACAGTATTGGGGTTTCTGGACCGTAGAGACGGGCCCAACGCCGCGGGTGGCCCCTGCAAAAAGTTGCAGGCGAGAGTTGCATCGCGAGGCTCATGCATTAATGCTGCAGCGTCCAGGCTATGGCCCATGGGCGGCGAAGCTGGGCCTGGAGGGTCGGTTTCTTTGCCAGCCTGGAGAGCTCAAGAGAGCTCCAGAACTCCCCCTGCTGGCAGGTTCTTGCCTTTGTAGCACTGCCAGAGCTGGCCTCTGCCTTCATCGAGGTGCGTTTTTTGTGCTCATTCCAGCCTTGCAACCCATCCATACCCATCCCTCGGCACAGGAGATTTTTCAGCAGTTTGGCGCAGGTGGAGGGCAACAGCTTCGGGCTGAGAGATGAAGGAACGGCTTCCACACAACACACCGCAATCGCTTGCGATACATCGCCATACAACAGAATAGAATGTTTTAAATGTGGCAGAACAACTGAACTGGACCCACGGTTTCCCTCGCAGCTGGTTGGTCTCCTGCATGTACCAGTCACACGGACTGGGACCTGATTGCTTTCAGTCGCTACAAGTGTTTGTGAGAGTGTGTGTGTGTGTGTCATGGATAGATAGGTAGAAAGAAAAGGAGATATTGACACACACACACATAGATACATAGATACATACATTCGTACCTACCTACATACATACATACATACATACATACATACATCATGAATGTAACGGTTCGGTTCGGTTCGGTTGCGGTTTTGAAAAGGCGGTTCAGGTTCATGCGATTCGGTTTCTCCGACGGTTCCTGCGGTTCAGTTCGCGGTTCCTGGCGGTTCCAATCCCCTATAGTCCCAAAAGCCGTTGAGAACAACACATTTTGGAGCCTCGGAATGGCCGCGGAGCCACGCGGGGGAGTACACAATTCGGGAGTTTGGGGTCTGAAGCTTGCGAAAAGGGTGCTCCCACACGTGTTGCCAACGTGTTGCTGGGGGGGCCCGCTGCGCACTGAGTACACAATTCGCGAATTTGGGGCCTGAAGCTTGCGAAA